CGGGTGATGGTACTGCTAATTGAATGGCCTCCCAAGTCGACGACTCCCTGATTCATGGCAATGCGGAAGGCGGCCGCATCCGCAGGTGGCAATTCGCCAAATCACCCACGGAAATTACTTAGGACATGTAATTTACGAAAAACTAACAGATTAATCTCCACGGAACCATAAATGAAGTTTGTGCAGTTGTGCTGAATGTGAGTAATGCTGGTGGAGTCGTTGGTTATTAGCACAGCATGGCAACCGCCCATCTCCGCCTGTGCCTGTTTCCACGCCGAGTCTGAGAGGGGACGAGCGATCCATGAAATTCGATAAGTCTTCGAGGTGGGCCATTAAAACTTCACTCACGCTCTTCCTGTGGATGTACCGCTATTCGTGAAATTCAATCCCTCAGTCCCCCCTCCCCCCTCCCCCCACCCCCTGATTCCTCGGCTCACACGCGCGCACACACTCACGATCAAGTGGGAAGCATCTCAGTTACGTAAATGAAACGCAAGTTGACGCCATGTGAAATGGTCAGCTGAAAGTCGATCTGCATAAATAATGCGGCTAGAAACACACACACACAAAACTTGCCGGTCCCCGTTTCTGGGTCTAGTCATTCAAGGAGCCTGGTGAGAATTTTTCCTCCGGTGTGATTTGAACACTTGGAGCTTTACTTTCTCGTATTCTCTGTTGCGCTTTCAATTGTCATGACAACGAACTGGTTTGATTGCTCAATTCAAGAAGCCTTCGTTCACACTAGATCGGGGTAAATTTTAAAAATCATGTAGCGGCAGCGGTGATGGTGGTGTGAAAATGCGACAAAATTATGCCGACACAATCATCAATCGACTCGCTACGCACAACAATGTGCAAAAATCAATAAAACTGTTCCTACTTAATGACAATCGTAAGTCGTGTGAGTATCGATCGCCAACACGAGCAGATGTTTTTGGGTTTACCACAAGACATAATTGTCTTCTACAACCGTAGTACCAGCATTCCTGTGGATACTCAGCATAGTTCACGACAAGCAATAGCCTGATAAGCTCTTTATTTTTCCTAATGCAATCCTAATACTGGAGTCTAAATTTCAAGAAATAAAAGAAAACGTTTTCACTAGCAAACATGGAATTAGATTACACCAATTCTCACACCTAGCAAACGTCATAATTCCTTCGCTGGACAAACGCCCATGTAACGAAGATGCTGCGTTCGCACTTTGACCGACCCCTGTCCCGATGACGCTCGAATCCACGCAATAAGGCTCGCGGATGACCCAAGAGAGAGCGGGGCTGCTTTCACACACACAACTCCGGTGGTCAAGCATTAAACAAACAAGTCGGCGTGCGACCAGGGAATGTACGCAGTTGAAACGTGAAACGTAATCACGACTGCGTAAATACGGCTGTCTACTCGTGGGCCTGAATGAAGCTGCCCACGTAATTTGACGAACAACTAATGGCATTTTGGTGCTCTGATACACGCCGCCTCACGAAATAACGGCTGTGTCGCCGTCGCCTTGTTCTCGAAACCCATGAACGTCAACAAGCAGCGGGATCGTCAGTATCAACAGCAATGTATGGGAGCTCTCATCTTTAGATTCTCAAATTCATTCAGAGAACATTGGTGGTAGAGCCTAGCGCCATGCACCGTGGTTTCCGCCCTTCAATGAGTTGGAGATCCTGTCTTGGAGGATGGAAAACCTTCTTCTGAGACTGGTGATGGAGCCTTGACCCTTTAGAGGACCTCCTTATTCACCAGACAGCGATGTGGAGGGGGAATTGACCACCTACTCTCTTCTTCCTTCCAATCTAATCATGGAACGGCGTTCTAACTGAACCCGCTAAATCAAACAAATCACATATTACCTACCCGAAACACAGTACTTGTTATTATTCTGGCTAACGAAACTATTATTGGTAGCCGATTTCACCATTATTGTTTGTGCTCAATCACTTTCTCGTATACAAATCGATAAACAGCTTTTTGTGGGTTCAAGCATGTGATCTTGAACCACGCCGGGGCCACGGAATTAACCCTGGCCCGATTACACCTCTCAGATACCCACGATGAAAAAAATTTCCAGCGACGACGTGGAAAAAACCGTTTACCTCAGAGCTCAACCACGTTGTTGTCGTTGTGTCGTGTGTGGGGTTTGCGCGTGTGTATTTATACCCCAGATGCGTGAGTCATAGATGCGCTAACATTGGGATCTAGGTGTGAGGATAACCCATATTAAATATTTGTGCTAATGGGCGGGGAGTTGAGGATCCACGCGGCTGGCGACTTGCTGCGAAAAGGGGAACCCTGTGTCGGAGAATGGAGCGACCGCATTAAGGAGTGTGTATAAACACGATTCACAAAAAACTACGCCACTTTGAACATAATCACCCTGTATGGCTACCCAAAACTTGTCGAAGTGACTTGAAACAGGATTCAGCTGTGTTGATCATAGGTCTTGAGGGGTGATTTCAGATTTCAAGCATTACCCTGCCATGTAGAAGCTCACGTAACACACTCATTCGGGCCATATTTGATTGGTTGATTAGAAGTCAGCTAAGATCCGCCTTGTTGCCTATAAATTATACGCCAGACTACATAACTGATCAAACGAAATTGTAGAAAAGCCAAATAACCAAATGAACACAGCCCAGACTTGGGAATGAGCCTGTAAGTGCATTTCATGCGCATAATTGTCATCTCGAAAAGTCGGAAACATTTGGTAATCCATGTCCAGACAACGCGATTTGTAATTTGCTGCTTGTGGAGTCGAGCAGAGGAGGGTGTTTGGGGGGGGGGATGCGCAGTTGTCGTCATCGTCGTTGTTGATGTCCCTGTCGTCGTTGCCACATAGCAAGCCACCACAGCTACAAGTTAGCGCCTTCATCCAACGTGGGTGGTCTTCTGTGCCCGTGCGCACAAACGCGTGTGCGTGCGTGCGTGCGAGAACACCAAACCGCCTTAACGACGTTTTCGCGGCAGCCCTGTGTATATTAATACGCGGAATTCGCACACACACACGGTAGCCCCTGTAATTGGCTGTTTGCATTCCTCCACAGAAGGAGGCAAGGCGCGTGTAAGGAGGCGTTGTGTTAATTTCATTACCCCTCCCCCCCCACATACACAAATCCCGCATCTGCAGAGGAGCGTGATTTAGTTAATTATCGTAAATCACATGTCCTAAGTAATTTCCGTGGGTGATTTGGCGAATTGCCACCTGCAGATGCGGCCGCCTTCCGCATTGCCATGAATCAGGGAGTCGTCGACTTGGGAGGCCATTCAATTAGCAGTACCATCACCCGACTATACACACAGCATTTGCACGGATCCATGTACTGGACGACAGAACGCACTGTTGACAGACTTCCTCCATCTAGCCGGAAGACTACGGATTCGCTTTGTGTGCAGTGAGGGTGGTAGTTTGAGTGCGATTTGCTTGTTCGTGTGGGCGTTGTGATGGTTGTCGTGGTGGGGTGAATGTCCAACCGCAACCACCTCTCATCCCAACACAAAACGATTATCAGTTGGCGTGGGGAGGTGGCGCATCGAGAGAGCAGCACAATCTGGAGAGATGGTGGTGGGCTAAGTGGGCCCTCGCACACGTAATTCCTGATCCTCGGTCTAAGTGAATCTGGCGTTGAACCCAGTCCACCAAAACCCCAATCATCATCAGCATCATCACCACCACTACCACTAAATCGTGTCTGACAGTGACTTTCGCTTCCATGAATTAGATGCAGACGAGAAGCCCAGTTCCTCATTCAGGTGATATTGGATACTCGCTGTGAGATCGCAGTCGGTCAAATAGTTATCACACTTCTTCACTACAAACGATGTGGGCAATTAGTATTACCGGTTTTTTCGTGAAAGGAACAGCACACTGGGGTTGACAGCGCACCACCAGTGACAACCTGTTGAGGAGATGGGCCCCTTTTGGGGCGTGGACGGTGTGTCGTGGAAGAGGCGGTTCTAGCAACTGCGGGTTGTCAGTGGCAAATCTTGTGGAGTTGATTCAGTCAACTTGGCACGCCTGGTCCCGACATTCGCGATTTGCCGCCAGTTGTAGAAAGCTGTGATTCGGATCCACTCTGTTTTCAGCCAACACAGCACCATCACCTTATTCAGCTGCTCCTGCGCATTGTGGTCATAGTTTGTCAACTCGCTTCACCAAGGTTACTGACGTCGCATATCCGTTGTGGTTCAATTGGTGGTACTTGCTGCACTGGTAGAAATTCAGAATGCTCGGATTTCGTTCAATTCCAATCAAAATGTTTCTCATCTGGCTGTAGATACATTGAATTTTATTTGTGTTCAAATTTTGTAGTAGCAAGTAGCGTTTAAGTGCAGGTTGGAATTTTAATGTATTCAGGCCTTCGGAGTTGTCCCCATGGAGACATTTCTCTGGTGAATCGACCCACCAACCTGAAGTCACGTCGAAAGCGTCGGCGCCGTGAACCGGGGCGTTACCACGGCAATACTTAAACAATCGAATTTCCTCCACTGATCCATCAGTCAGGTTAACTGTCGCCTGTCTTGAAAGCGGTAATCGCTTTCGCAAATTACCCATGAATTGCTTCCCAGCATGACCCCAAGCATTAAAGGTCGTTCCCTCCCCCCTCACGGAAAGCGCCGGTACCTGGGGTGGGGTGTAGGGAAGAAGCACTTAGGGCACGCGACAGTTGTGCAATCGTGGGTGGCCACCAACTGCCTAAATACCCTCGTGTCACCTAAAGGAGGATGGCAGCTTAACCCGTGGGTTTCGGCACGATGCCAACCCAAAAGTGGACCGTTTTTTATTTCTGATTTTGCAATCAATTGCTCCGCTCAAGTTTTTTCAACTATGGCCCCGTAAGGCATTACGTCACAAGACCACTTCGTTCTGGCATCGATGGATGGTTCTCACAACAATGAACCAGGCATTCAGAACCAGGATGCTTATGTATCCAGCTCTAAACGCATTCGCTTGCAAATCAAGAATAGCATGGACTTTAGTGAAGCCTTAAATTGCCAAAGAATTATCTGGTATAGGGATTCGCTTCCAAAAAAGTTGAATTTAAAAATATCGACTATTTTCTTGCTCGGGCATTTACAACAGAAATGTCAACAGATAGCTAATTCTTTTTTTCTGCGTCTAAATTTTTATGCTCGGGATTACCGCACTGGGTTCCACACCATGCGTGAATCCTGCTGAAGATCGATTTATATCGATTTTAAAGTAATGTCCTAGCAGTTCGATTATTAAATCATCTGTGAGTTGACGGAAGCAAGTGAATGAAATTTATCGATTTTTAAAACTGGAATTTTGGTTATTGTAAAATTTGCGAGTTGGTAATTCAGCCTCTACCTAGGTTTTAATTTTTCACAAAACTAACAACTTTTGATCAAGGCACAGTCAAGACGTGCATTAAATAAGGACATAAATGCGTCCTATCCAAAGTTACGACATGGAGACAGAAGCTGAACTACTGAAAAGTGAGTTGAAATATCAAATAGCGTGAAAATTTGGATCGTCATCTTTAGGAAGCAGTTGCGTTTTGTTATATTTTTAAAATAAAGACCTTTTCAAAATCATCAGTGTTTTTGAACATTAAATATAATTAGAAACCAATTGCGTGCTTATCCTGATGTAGTTGTACTATATTTTGATCAGTAATATATGTTTTAAAATTATAATTATCCAAGGCAAACTTTTGGGAACACAATTGGGGAGAAACCGTTTATGAGCTGCACGGATCAAATTACAGAAATAAGGGGCCCGTGTTCAATTTAACAAGCACTTTAGGGTGAAATATTTGATTCACATTCGTAACATTCTAGAATGTTACTTTTACCGAAATCACAACAACAGCCCCAACGGCTAAAAATTGCGTAAAAATTAAAACTGATATGAGCCTATCAGTTGAAAGGTAGCGTATGTGAAATTTAAACAAACCTCGTGAGTTCTAATTGGACGAATCGAAATTGGCTAAGAAGGCAGTCGTGTAAAATATTGATTAAAAGTTCCACTCACCCATAATCAAGTCCATAAATCCATGGATGACGCCGAAGCATGTGTCGGAGTGATACGCTTTCGCAGGGACGCAAAATGTCATCGTTTATCGGGGGCGGTACGGTGGCAAGTGATTTTCGCCTCCAATCCAGCGTCCACCACTGGGGTCCCAAGTACACATACACACACGCACGCAAACAGGACGCCAGACAGGCGTTCGACAAGCGGCACCGAAGACCACCCTGTCTAAACGAGACTAAACACGGAACGGCACTTACCTCCCCGCGCCTTGTGTGGTCTCTGTGGCCATGTAAGGCAGCGCTGTGTTTTGGCCAAAGGTCGTAAATCGTGCGGTTCCTCCTGAGCTGCCAGAACCCCGCTCCCCAAGCACCCACCCCCAACACCGAAATTATCGATCCTCCATGACGTCCACCAATCGGCAACAAGCCACTTGGTGTGTGGTTGCAGGTAGACGTCTCTGATTATCTGCACTGTAGCGTCATACAATCTGAACCAATGGGGCTGCAGAGTCGGCGAATCCCACGTGAGTTCAAGGTTTCAAGGTCACATCGATTAATTAACTAGTGTCCAGTGGGTGTGATCTGCAGCCAATATCTGTACACAGGGAGCCTATTCAAGACACAATAAAACTAGTTGCGGATCTGTGGTTGTCTTATTCTTCTGAGGCAGCCTGATTCATTTCAAAAGTCGTGTTTTAAAACGATAAAAAGTGCGGGTACATAATTCATAAAATTGGGGTTACTTGCTCATTTTCACCAACCCAATGCGTGTAACAATTATTTGAATGATCCTAATGGATAAATGGTAATGAAAAATTGCCTTGCAAGCACTTGCTAAGAATAATTGGGGTTAAAATTTTCTCTGAAATCAAAAATTGTGGTGAATTTGCACAAATCGATTACAATTAAGAAAGCGGTTTAAATACAATCTACCAGCAGAGAACAGCTGCAATTCTTCGATTGATTAAAACAAAAGACAGATCGATATGAAATAAGGGAGCAAATATCAAAAATCAATTTAAATACTAAATATCGATCACAAGCTATGCACTTGAATGTCATTTACTTACCTAATCAAGACGCAGTACACGTAACAAGAAACATTAATCGATAAAAATCGATTGCTGAAAGCTAAATGAGGATTGGCTGGATTTGTAAATTTGTTTTTGTTTGAGTTTATTCACCACATTTGCGGGAACATGAATTGCAAGCAGCAGAGGGTGTGCCTAAACTGACTGAAAATTGCAAATGGCGATGTTGAGGGAGGCAGTGGACCACAAAACTATGACAAATGAATCCATTGAAACGAGCTGACATCACATGACCCCAAATATGCCCCTGCTAAGTATATCGCCGCTTATTTTTCTCCGTTTGCACCTTTTTTCCTTCCGATTTTTGAGAGTTGATTTTATAGGATTTGGGGAATTTGACTTAAGAGAGTGCCATGTTAAATAATTCGAATAATTCTAAAAGATTTTCTTCAAATTGAGATTGAATTGTTTCACCTAGTTGACGAAGATTTTGAGTGACTATGAGGTTTCACTCCAAGGTAATTCCAGTCCTTAATATTAATGGCCAAATACTTAGCACGACTGCCTTTTTTGTTGATCATTCCAACATCTAAAATATTCAATCTACTCAAATGTATATTAGTAGACGTATTAGAGTGTCTGAATTGAGCGTCATCGTAAACTGCTGTTCTGGCTAAAATTTATTAAAATTAGTCAATTATTTACTAATTACTTAAATGTTCAAGAAAAGCCCATTTTCCTATTAGTTTAAAGTGTTGAAGTGTTACATGTTAAGCGTAAAACATTTAGGGGTTTAAAATGCTGAGATTAGTCTTATATTACTGGTAATAATAGTAATCAAGTTTATGATAGTGTCTCCGCACTAGTACCTGAAAGCAAAAAATTGCATTGCTGTAATGAAGGTATGATTAATTTAAAGGAAATAAAAGTTGTTGGGTTTTAAAAAGAATATTTTAGGTCCGACGGAGACGGTTAAAACTGCTTAATTTTCCCAAGATTCAATTTTTCATGCACCTGTTAAATGTACAGTAGTATTTCAGGGAAAGACACCAAGAAAATGTGACGGCAAGGGAACTAAGTTAACAAAAAGACAGAATAAGTCTTGTTTCTGACCCAACAAAATTCCCATCGCATCGGATTAACTCTTTACCGTTGCCAAACGAGCCAGGAGTCAGTAGCCCGACACAATCCTCAATCTACCACATGCAACCTCATCCATTTTCATCGAGTGGTATCCCCAGTTGCAACTAACCGACTCCCCAACCCCTTGTTACCTCATTTAGAATCGGTTCCCCGACCTCCGTTTATCTATCACTCCATTTTTTTGTACAACGCGGATACTGCAAGCTATTCGGTACGGTGGACAGACACTGTGGACACAAAGATCCTCACTAATTTCTCAACCTTGACTTACCCTGCTTTTATCGCTTATTCCCACCCCCTTGGCATTCCAAGTACACGTCGAAGCCCAAAAAGTCATCCATGCTCAGCGACATGAAGGCGGCTGTGTCTGTGATCTGTGCCAAGTTGACCGCCATCGAAGATGTCGGTGACACGGCAAGCAACTTTCATCTGGTAAACCCCGGCTCTGTCATGGTTTGGGCCCAAGTCACTTCAGACGGCATGTGGAACACGGTTTTGGGTTGCGACTTGCTTCGTGGGTCATTGATCGTACCATGCATCAAGTTGGTCTCGCATAACTGGAGCCGTCTTCCCCTCCATCCGAACTTGACGCCATCGGCACTTCCACAGATTCCACATCGACAGTCGACATCCTACTTCGCGATACTCCACAGGACGGCTGCTACCGCCTGCAACAGATCAGGACATTGGAAGAAGGAGCATTATCCAACACACCGGCGACGCCCTTCAACAAAGTTCACACCCGAGACGACTCCAAGTACACTAACGTACTGACCTGGATAACTCACAGATGAACTCCTTCGGCAAAAAATCACCACTTCTCCTCTTTACCCCCGTCAAACAGAAACATGGTATCCTTCCCCTCGGCATGGACTACTGGAAACTCAGCTTGGCAACAACCCGAGTCTTGACCAAAAATAGAAGATGATGGACAACCTAACTGAAACCCTCCACAGGTACCATCTAGCAGGATTGACTACCAACCAAAAAAGGATGCTTCTAACAGAAGTCGGTCAAAGTCCTTGATCATGATTAAGAAATGGCCTAGCCCCTCCTCTTAGCAGACGAATTGCGATCATCCATGGATGGATTTCAGTGGCTGACAAAGAATTAAAGAACCTTTGATGGGACAACAGAGTGAGAAGAGGATTTCTTACAGCTCAAGAAAACGTTGGTCTCAGGTACTGTTTGAACTACTTCAAACCTGGACCTAAACGCCCCTTATTTTTATTCTCGAAGCAGACACAAGTAGCCACCTTATCGGCGCAGTCCCGTCCCAATACGGGGTCGACGACGTGGAACATGTCATATCAATTGCAGGACCACGAGACGAGGCCTTCTGGCTATCGCCCAGTTTATCAAGAAGCTCGCGATGTATTGCATAGGGCAAGCCTTCACTGTCCAATTTGGCCACCTGGTCTTCACTTAGACACGGAACCTCAAAAAACAAAACGTTGATCCAGCAAGCTGGCAAAATGGCCCTAGCTTATCTTGACTTCCAGGTGGAATTTCACCTACGTGGACATTCTTACTCGCCTTCCGGCCCAGAATTTCCAACCCAAACACAAAAACAATGCCGCCGATCCTTACTCTGTTACTGTGTATTATAAAGCCATTAATTTGGCAAAACCTCCGGCAGAGTAACCAGATATGACCCTAGTCTACAATTGACAGCTCTATGGCCAACGCAAACCAATCACCGAAGGGATGAGAGGGTTCTGTACTACTCCAACTCTTTCACCCACCTGATAGTCTTCAATACCATGGACCATGTTGATTATAGATGATTTATGCGTCAAATGGGTGAAAGCAGCACCAATCCCCAACTGAGAATCCCCACCCAACCATCGATGTTGTCATGTCCTATTTGGTTTCTCGCTATATCGTTCCTGACTATGCACTTAGACCAAGGATCCAGCTTCGAGAGTTAACTTATATATGAACTGTGCCAGGCAACAGGTTAAGTGAAGACCCTCACAAACTCTTACTACTCTATAGGCAATAGCCAAACAAAAAGAAGAAATTGATTGCTTTTATCTCTCTTGCGATTATTTATCTCCTTGGAGAGCAATAACATCTGGGACTACCGCTTTATGCTCCACCAGGCCACCTATTCCTTTAATATCTTTCTGATGTTTAACCACGAGCCCCACACTACCATGGACTAGCAATTCTCACTCCGGGACTCAAGCACCCCAGACTCAAGCAACTTCGCAGCCCTAATATTGGAACTAGACTGCAAGACAAAGAACCCCAGTCAAGAACATTGAAAGCGATTACGCGTCAGACGGATAATCTCCCTACCAGCTAGTAGATTCAGTTTGACACCAACAGCTTTACCCTTGAAAGTCACTTCAGGTTGAGCAGTCTGCATTCAAGTTCCTTTTCTTGGTCCAATTAATCCTCATTAGCATACCTCATCCGGCTTTTATCAGACCCATTCTATTTCCGTCTAATCAAGCACTTTAACCACACCGAACACAGACTCAAAGTGGATCGTTCTACCTCATGGCAAAGCCACGAACTATTACCTGCCATGGACATCCCAGTGAAAAAAAATGTCGAAAATTTTCCAACACTTCCCGTCCTGTACTATTTCTATCCCTTCATTCGAACTAAGGAGAGCGATCTCTAGAACCAGGGCAATGTCATACACGCTGTTCACCTATTTATTTTTTCTCAGTTGTTTAATTTTTCTAATTTTTAGAGAAAACCTGACACGATCAATTAAGGTGCGTCTATGTAAAAGTTATTGCCTCTTTATGACGTACACTGGCCGGTAGAAAGACATTTTTTAACTCCAGAAGCACATTCTGTCTCTTGCGCCATTGACCCGATCCATGATCTACAAGAATCCAAAACTTTATGTATACTCTAAGATTCAGGTGCTTCCAAAATTGATTCCCGTTAGCACAGATCAAACAATTAGAAGACATAATTCGGCATTTTATGTAAGTTCTTACAAGAATTCATACATAATTCCATCCACATTCTAGTGCGCTATATGAAATTCAATATTTTTTACTATAATCAATTGCATGTTTTGACAAACGTCTTAAAAAATTACTAGTAGGATTTTAAAGGAACCATGACATAGTTGTTCATCACAAATATCTATTGGGTCATTTCAATGGAAGGTGTAATTCCAGTAGTAATTTGATAGGCATTATAATAAAAAGAAGTACTTAAACATATTCATCTGAAATATTAAAAATACAGGTCCTAAAACCATCAGTATCGAAGTTTTGTGTTAGTCCCATTACTCCATCACAATTTTCCGGGGTAAAAACGCGATTGGCGGTTGAGATGGCTACTGAAAAGAGGCTAACTTGTCATGTCATTCTAGCCGCTGAGCTCATACTTATTTAGGGTCGGAAGTTTGGGGAGAGATTAATGGCAGGAAACCCGTGCTGCCGTTGTATGTATCGGTTTTGTCGAGCATTGCCGGTGGTATTTATTTTGCTGATTACATTCTGGTCCTACTATGCCTATGTCATCGTGTTTTGCATACGTATGTACTCTAATTTCTAACTTCAAATTTGCGTCTAGAGTTTGTCCATTCAATAGTCGAAAAGGGTAGATTTTGTGCGTAATTATTTACGAAAATGTAGTTTTCTTCATTTTTTTCTATCACGTGCTGTACATCATGTTCCTATGGTCGTTTTTGAAGGCAATAATATCTAAACCTATCCGGCCACCGCATGAGGTAAGTTTAGAACCATTCTCATTTAACCGAATAACCAATTTAAACCTTAAGCCACGTAAATAAATTAACAGATTTGGTAACCCAAAGCGGCAGCCGAATGTTAACGGCCGTATTTGTATGCAATCGAAGCAATAATTTAGCCGATTTTACTGTCAGCACACGCGTTTGGTGTGACACATTGTATTGATTTTTTATTTATTTATCAGTGCTCACAACCTAGAATACCAATCGTGCTGCCATCCGTCAGTTTTTAATTTGTAGTTTTTGGGGTGTGTACATTTTTGCCAAGACGAGCCGTTGCTTTAAACGTCATTCGTTAATTGAGAAGACCTCATTTTTTTAAAAATTCACCCAATAGCAGCTTTGTCGCTTTTATATACAAAAGACAATTGTGTCTTGTAGGCCGATTTAATGTCTGGCTTAAGTGGTTCCCAATTCTCCGCAAATAAAGGGTGCCATCAGTTCCCCTTTAATTCGGTTTTTTGTTATGCGCATTAGTTCTACCTTTCGCCAGAAGACTGGGATCAAATCAGTCGTGCTCAGGAAGAACAAGAAAAAAATCGGTATTTGGAAGCTGTGATCGCGGCTAGGAAGCTGCCAGTCGAAACCACCAACGATGTTGGCATGATACGAGTTTGTCCAACTTGCAGCATCATCAAGCCAGATCGGTGTCATCACTGTTCTACTTGTGAATGGTAAGCGCAGTCTCTCCCGTTTTGGCTTTCATCATTTTCACTCAGATGATTTGCAATGTGATTATCTTTTCGTATCGTTTTCACCTTATCCATGGTTAAACATTGACCTTTCAATGCCTCAGACTAGTCAATTTTCTATTCATTTTTAGCTGTCTCCTGAAAATGGACCACCACTGTCCTTGGTGAGTAGCGTTTCCTTGCCTTTCTATTCATATCCACGAAGATACTGTCTTATCTCAGGCTATCCTTTGTGCTTTAAGTTGTTATAAGTCTTTTACTTGGTCTTTTATGGCCAATAATTCCAAAGACTCCACGTACACACCTGCTTCCACCGCACACATATATCGGGGATGCCTTAATTCCGATCTCTAACGGACCAAAATCGAAGCCGTTTAACTTTTTGCAAGTTACTCTTCTGGTTTTTCTGTATTTACTTCGTGGCTCCTGCCAGCCTACTTTGGCCTATTAGTTTTTCCACGATTAACGAAAGTAATCTAGTTTGTCATGGCGAAACCGGTAGAACTGTTGCTGTTGCTGTTGGTATCGGATGGAGAATTCACAGTCCATCATGTTAGCCTACTGCATGCCGACTAACTTTAATTCAATTGTCATGATTGCACGTCACAAGTAGTTTAAAATAGTGTTAGGCTTATAGTCGGATCTATCAATCTTGTCTATTTTGAAAAAAAGTCGTAAGTATATTAGAGGAAGAGCACTTTCGTGGTGTAACTGTCCCTCTCTGACCTTTGGCCGGATTTCGGACGTCACGCGCCATTGGCCAAAACACCCAAAGCCAATAAGGCAAAACATTTAGGAAATAGCGACGCAGCCGAAAACGTCAGGTTGTACGGCACACTGCTGTCTAAAACATGTAACCAAAGGTCGAAAAGAGGTAATGCAGGCTGGGCGATTTTGAAGGAATCGACTTCATGGGAAGTGGCCTCATTCCCTAGCACAATGGCTGCGGTAGACATGACAGCTCTAGCATCACCGTAATCTCCATTCTCATTTGACAAGAAGGTAATTAAATGTCTGCCAGCGATTTGGAAGTTGATTATCCAAAAACGACGGTACCTATTTCACTGATTAATTTTGCACTGTCGAACTACTATCGTACCCTTCTTGTTGCAAAGCATAAGGACCATTTGCGGGCCAACTGGGTCTCTTATCTGTCCTCTGATCGAACACTACCGTACTGTGTGTGTGTGTGTGAAATCGTTATTTTTTTTTGAAATCGACCTACCTACCTGCATTTCTAATGAAACACCCACATACTAAAATGCTGGCAAGTGTGTGTATGCTAGGGGAATGCAGCAGCCGACAGTTTCTTTGTTTAACTACAAGAATCTCTATTACGGTAAAAGCACTGCTTCCTTCTCTGGCGTGGCATCGTTTAAAGCTTAACAAGCACCAAAGCTGGCTTTTGTAGCCCTCTTGGAAGGGCGTTTACGTGGTTACACATCGTGCCATTTCACACGCTCTTTGCCGCAAACCTGTCACGGGTTTCATCCACCAAGTCGCGTACATCAAGTAATTTGCGTATAATCCAATGCGATTAGGCCAATTTGCCTTGTTTACCTGACCAATCGCATTCTTGGGTGTTACTTCGCTGGGGTTGCCACGTCAACTCACAGTTTTAGCCCTTGTTTTGAAAGATGCATCTTCTTAATAAGTTTGGCATAATTAGTTTTCCAAGATAAATGAACTTAAAGGTTCCGAGGCTCCTGTAAAAATATGATTAAAATATCAACGCTTTATTTGTGCTTGGTTTCGAAGTCTGTTGTCAAGTTTGGTGAAGACGCTTTTCCAGCACAGACGGTCGATTTGAAATCTGAGTTGAATTTTGTTTTTAAACTGTTGTTGTTGTTTGAGGCATGCACAACAGTTGTCCTTTTAATTTCAACGTGGGCGGTCGCTTAAATACCTGCAGCGTTTCCTTACTCCGGTCTGCACCAACGCTTAAGTATTAAACACAGAACTATCCCTCCAAACACACGAAAAAAAAACGAGTTTATTCATTTTGGCTATTTGTAGGATCGACAATTGCGTGGGATTCCACAACTACAAGTACTTTGTGGTGTTCCTGTTCTGGGGCTCCGTATACTGCCTCTACATCGTCTGCACCTCGATAGCCTACTTCATTGAATTCTGGGAGGTGCGTTATTTGCAGTCCTTGGATAATTTATCGATTTACAATTTTTTTCATCCTTGCCCGCGCCTCGGCGAGTCTTACTGGGTCTTGAACTCAAACCAGGGCCAGAGAGAGTGGTTTGGTCAAAAATCGCTTTTGGTGATGATACAAAATGCCTGCACGAATGGCGGCAGCCATCCGAATGTCACTTTCAGCTAGAATGTCAGATCTGTCAGCCACCATGTCTGAATACCCCGATTAATATTCCCGAACATACTAAAGGCTGTGTGACATTTACATGTTAAGGTTGATGTATCCGTTGTTTAATTCTAATTCTCATTGATGAGGGCTTGCAGTTTACTGACTGAACGAGCGCTAATCATGCCGAGTGTTGTTTTAAGTGTACGAAGCGGATTTAACGTAAGCGTTGTCGAATCCTCCGAATCGTCTTCTTTTCTGTTCGCGTTCGGTGTATTATCCCGTCTGAATAATGAAGCTGTTGTGAAAGTTTGTTGTTTAAAATGCTGTCGTAGCAACTCTCTACCGGTTCGCGGCTGACCCAATCCAACCACGCTCTCCGTGTTCCCGCAAATCCGGCATTCTCGTTGGCTGTGCTTTGAACCTCTTGTTGGCCCGCCGCTTTGTCGTTGAAATGGCGTGTATACCCCCTCTCCTGCCCCCAATTTTACCTCACAAATTCAAGTGTAACCGCGTAAACAGCACTGCGTCCTCCACGCAGAATTCCCGTTGTTAATATCGGAGCATACCACTTGACGACGCCACTGAAATTCAGGTGAAGGTTGAGGTAAAGAAGAAGATGAGACGTGGCGAAGGCGCACCTGTACATTCGATGTGGTGTTGTGTGTTCCCACTAACTAAAGATATGTGGGCACGGGCACAAACTCCGACCCCTTCACACAACCAATGGGAACGCTGGGAGGCGGGGCTTTCTGATTGGTGGAAAGTGATGTTGCACCGCGGCGCTTGGACATGCGTCAGGAGGCAAATAACAAGCGCATACAACTCTACTGTGAATATTAGAGTTTGCGCTATTGAGAAAGCGCTTCTGCGTGCACATCACAATTTTATGTGAAACGTCATGTTCCCACGCCGACATCATTTTGCCTAAGCTGTTCGGAGTGTGTGTGTGTGTGTGTTAAAGATGTGGGTTATATGTGCAGTAATGTGCATCTTCCAGATGACCTTTTCCGGTCAATTATCGGAGCATCCAATGTACTGAGCTATCACAGGTGGCTGCTCATGTCCACCAAATCTGATTAATTGCCATATCATTGATTTGTTGTTGGTTTTTTAACATTTGAACCAACCATAATCGATTACCGAGAGGGTAGTGTGAAATAAAATTCAATTTTTTAATGCAGAGGATGGATTGTAATCACGTGAGTAGTATCTTCTTTACCCGTTGGCCTTTTGCATGTTTCCGGCAAGTTCACAATTTTATTCTCATCAAACTCTTGTGGTCACAGTCCACGAAACCAGAAGTAGCCGCGATTTCACACCGTTTTTGTCATTTGTGGAGGTTTTTACCATTCGAAGCGTTGTCCAAGGCCAGTAGGGTGCATCCCACCGCTTCCGAACACCACGAGCCATCATGAAGTACGGAAGGTGTGTGAATAGTCCTGCCATCGTCTTGGTGGTTTGTCGACTCAGGCCGTTGTTCTTTGAAGTGGTTTCCATTTAACAGTTAACTGTTTATTACGTGGAAGGACTTCATACTACCATTACCGTAATTCCGCCCAAGTGACTGCATGATTTGTCATTAATGCATTTCAGCAATTTTCATGTGGCTTGAAATGGTTCGTCACGATTACGCCGTGATCGTTTACGACTGATTTTGTGATTCAAGATCCGTTTTTTCATCACTCGCTATGACTCTCACCAGAATCTGGACGATTGCATCGCGTTCGACCACGCGATTGGCCATTTCGTCTTCACCGAGGCTTGACTGGATTTGGCGACTGGAAGGCAAGAAACAGCGATTTTACGAAGAAATGACAGCGATTTTAACACAAAAGGTGTCACATCTTACGGGGAACATCATGCAGCAGCGTGAATAGCCATCAGAGGATGTTTCACCACTTAAAGGAGTTTTGCAAGATCAAAAGTACAGCAGATGCGCGATTTGGCGTTCTAAGCTCAAGAAATTTCACACGAGCTATCGAAGGTGTGCGAGTTGGGCTTTACATCTGCTAGGTGGCACACGACTCCTTTACGATTTGCTACTTCAAGGCGTTCTTAGATTTGTTCCCATTTAACAGCTGATGCCTGTTGACCGTTTGGTTCCACGGAAAGAACGCATAATACCCACCCCATCGTCGTCGTTGTATCCCCCCCCCTCCAGAATGACTGCGTGATGTGTCATTGGTGCGTTTCGGCAACAACTTTCGACGTGGTTTGTGCAGGTTCATCACTGCTA